CCTCAGTTAAAAAAAACGTTGATCAGTTAGCACCTACATACATTGCTCCAAGCTGCGCTCAGTGGGGAACATAGACACATACCAGGTGGCCCCCTACTGCTGACTGTGGCCAACACTGATGAAGCTTCTTTCAGGAGCTAGGTGTCTAGTCCATTACCTGCTTCTCTCCTGATAGGTAAGTGATAGTCCTCTACTTTTTCCCCAATAAGAAAATTGAGGCTCATTTTAGAAAGAGTAAGTCTGCTAAGTTCACACAGTTTATAGTTGGCAGTGCAGGTCAGTATGACTCCCAAATGCATGCTCGCTCCACTATGTCACTCTGGCTAATTCTTTGGAATAACCAGTTTCCTTTTCTAAAATGCAAGTACTTCCAAGAGAATCACTCCCATCGAGTTATCAGTTTAAAAGCAGATGCTTTGCTTACACTTTGGTGGTTGAGCTTTCTCCAGCCTAATTTCGTGCTGATCCTTGGTCTGTACCCTCTGCCTAGGGCAGGTATACAACCCACTCTCTCCTCTCCAGAACTGTCCAGGAATTTTGCCTTTTCTCCATCTCTTACACAGCAATTTAGCTTTCTCCCATCCTACCACAAAGCCTGAATTACAAAACCCATCAATGAGCGCAAGAAAACAAAAGAAGCTTCCAAGAAAATCCAGAAGGCCTTATGGGTAATTGTGGGAAATAGTGCCAGCAGCTTACTCAATATTTATCTTCTTTTGTTCCTTAGGAAAAGGGTCTGCTTTTTGTTTGGGCAGGAGTGTGCCCAGGTACAAAGCTATATTTCCCAGCTTCCCTTGCAGCTAGAGTGGTCCGTGTGGCCACAGTTCTTTCCTTAATAGCCATGCTTAGGTTAATAGATCCCACTTCCAGTTCCATGAATCAATTAGGATAATTTTTCCTCTACCCAATTTCCCTCCTCCCCTACCAACAGACTCCTACTTCTTGGAGCTGCAATGTGCCCAGATCTCTTACAGACAGGGGAGGCACAAAGCCAATTCTGGCGAAGCCACTGGTTGGGTCTTCCTGGAAAGTCACTTAGATGGGGCAGCTGGCAATACTCTTTTGCTCATGGTTCTTTCCCCTTCCTGCTGCCTAGAATGCAGTCCTGATGGTTGGGATACCACTATCCCATGGATGAGGGCCTCAGCCTAGGATGGAAGAGCAGAAACCAACAGGAGCCTGAGTGCCTGTTGACATTATGGAGCCATCACCTCAGTCCACCTGGGATGCCTACTTCCAGATCTCTTTTTCACAAGAGACAAAAATGAACTCCTATCATGTTCATGCCCTACCTGTTCAGATTTTCTATGACATGCAAGTCAACTCAATTTCTACATTTACTGCAATGATCGGTTCAGGAAGTTTAATAAAGAGTGGAGCTTAGGACTTTTGTTTGCTGGAGGTGAGATGATAATAAAGTGTTTTGATTCTGCTCCAGCACCCAACCCTCAGTGTGGACAGGTTGCTGCTGGCAGACATCTACAGCTGTGGTTCTCTTTTTTTTTTTTTATTAAATATATCTTTATTGATTTCAGAGAGAGGAAGGGAGAGGGAGAGAGAGAGAAACATCAATGATGAGAGAGTCATTGGTCGGCTGCAGCCTGCAACCCGGGCATGTGCCCTGACCGGGAATCGAACCCTGATCGCCTGGATCCCAGGTCGACCCTTAACCGCTGAGCCACGCCCGGCCGGGCTACAGCTGTGGTTCTCAAAGCGTGGTCCCTGGATTGATGGTGGCAGCCGCAGCAGCAGTTGGAAACTTATCAGAAATGCAAATTCTCAGACCCTTTACCAGATCAAATGAATCGGTGATCTGTTTTCATAAGTTCTGTAGGTGATTCTGAGATTCCAAAGTTTGGAAACCACTGATTAACAGAGATCTACAGAGAGAGCCAGAGCCCTGATCTAACCATGTCTGAATTACACTTCTGGATTTCCTCAGTTAAGTAAGCAAATAAATACACTTTCTTTTTGTTAAAACTAGTTTGGAGTTTCTGGTACCTGTACCTGAAAACATTTCCACTTTTGCTGCTTCAGGGACACTATCCATACAGGGCACAAAATACTACCTGGAAATATTTTGTTTCATGGACATTTGAGAAGCAGATGTACATGAGTAGTAATGGCAACACCACCTACCCGGAGCCAGAAAAGAGACTTGATTCGCAGATTTAAAGCCTTAGTCAGGCACGATTTCCAGAGGATTGGTCTAAATCTTTGTGTTTGCTTGGAGATTTAAAAAGGAATTCCTAATTCAGAAGTGCACACTGTGCATTTTATACTGTACCGCAGGGCTCTCAGGCAATTAGCTAGAAAGCCAGAATCTTTTGCTTTGCTCCTATCACTGCTGACTCCTGCAGGCCTAGTCCCCTCAGCCAAACCAAGATCACTGCTCTTCTTTCAAACAAAAGATGACACTCACCTGGGCTCCCCTTCTCTTTCCCAGACCCCAAATAGAGTTTCTACTGCTCATGCCCTTCTCAGTAGCAGCAGCCCACATACGGCAGGTGCTTAAATGTTTAATGAAACTCAGCACTCTGTTCCTCCCTGCTCATGTGGAGGGCAAGGCTGGTCTTCTGTGACCCGATGGAGCTGAAGTGGAAAGATCTGGCTTCTGAAAACTGTCTCATGAGGAACAGAAGACACTTCGGGTTTCTTATGAAGTGCAGAGTCAAGCACACAGTTGGGGACCTGAAAACCACAGCAAGTGACCTTCTCCCGCTTATTGAGTACTTGCTATGTGCCCATGCTCTGCCAAGCATTTAAATGACCACCTGTGAGGTAGGAGGTGTCAATATTCCTACAAGGAAACAGGCTCAGAGAAGTCAGGTGACTTGTCCAAAGTCACTTTAAGTGGCAGAGTAGACATTTGATCACAGGTATATTATCTGGAGTCTTCTAAGACGAAAGGGATAGAAATCCAACTCAAACTAGCTTAAGCAAAAAGAGAAATTACTGAATTGAGTCTGGGGTGTGTTTCAGGCACAGATGGAACTCGGTGGGCAAAGTCTCTCTCTATCCCATGGCTCCCTGTGTTGGATACTTCTTACAGTCTCTCTGCGTGGAAAGGTAGATATTATCAGCTTTAGTCCTTGAGAGTTAGAGTTTATAACTCAAAAGTTTTTTCTAATAACCGCAGTAAAAATTCAATTCCACCAGTATGCTTTGTGGCCAAGTTTAACTCACATGCTCAGCCCTGAAGCAATCACAGTTAGCAGGGAAACAGACTTATCAGACCCAAGTCACAAGGCTCCCACTAAAAATAGCGAGGTACTGGGATACCAGCATCCCTCTCTGAATCACACAGGCTGGGCAGAATTACCGCAAAATGGAGAGATGGTTCCACAAAATAAGGAATATTGAGCAAAAACATCTCTTAAAATCTTGCCCTCAGCTGCCCATCTTTCTTTCCATAAGAGTAATTTCATAAATTCCCCTGTAATGTATGTATATACTGTATCACTGAGACACCTTTTTAGCATCAGGTAAAAGAAAACCTAAACCCAAGTAAACTTGGCTTGATAAAAAAGAACATTTGCACCCAGGTTCGATCTCTGTCAGGGCTCATATGAGAATCAACCAATGAATGCATAAATGGGTGGAGCAACAAATCAGTGTTTCTCTCTCTCAAATCAATAATAATAATAATAAAAAGAGACCTTTCTATCTTACATAATATCCGAGGCTTTTTCCCTCCTTGGTTGGGGATCTGGTAACTTCAGGGACTTGTTGGTTCAGCAGCCTGAGTTAGTGGCCAGGAAAAGGAAGCAGGGCAGGGCCACAGGGGAGATTTCAAACTAAAAAGCCCCTTCCCACAGCTGGGACGAGCCCGCAAGCAGTGGCAGGCCTTCGGGCGGGGCGTCTGCGAGGCCCTGGTCCTCCTGGCCCTTTGGTGAGACAAGGGAGAAAGCTGACGGCCACCGCTGAGGCTGCTGCCTAGGGGACATGGTCTTGCTGAGTAACTCGAGTTTCACGGTGCCTTCCGGACAAAACCCCGCCCCATTTCTTGCCCAAGAAGAGAGGCTCCGGTGGAGATTATACCATCAGCCATCTGGATGCAATGCCTCCCCGTTGGCCCACATGCCCTTGCCCCACATTGGCATATTCACGGCTCCAATGTGTCCCGTCCCTGCCCCCAGACTTCTGCTTGCCCAGTCCTGTGAGTGCTCTGCCCCGGCTTCCTTTCTCTGTCTTGCTCAGGGCCGGATCCAGGCCCAGCCTCCGCAGTACAGTCCTCCCCAAGGGCCCAGCCTCCTTGGGTCACTTTCTATTTTAGACGCCAGGGGCATTTGTTGTCTGCTTGTGAGCTGATGGTGGTATTTGCCATACAGTGTCAGCAGGACTTCATTGCCTTTTCAGGCAAGCTATGCCAGAACTCCCGCTCAGAGGACGGGGCAGGCAGGGTAACTTGCCAGGGGTGTCAGGGTCTGGGTGAGAGGTAGTTTGGAACCTGCCTGGGAACACATTCCACACGGCACCGTAACTCATAAAACATCCTCTGAGGATAAACATCAGCATGCAAGCAAGTGCTTGTTTTTTTGCAAGGGCTCTCATGAGACATCTTCCAACTGCAGACTGTCAGGCACTAGGGACCCCAAGAACAGGAGCTGGACAGAGGGAGGAAGGTGAGGGGTTAGAGCTGTCAACGAAACAGGTGACCCTGAGGCAGGGAGGTCAGCTGGGGCTCTGGCCAGCCCAGTGGACGCTGTGTGGACCAGGCGCAATGGTGGCATGCCCCCAACTTCAAACCGTTGCCACACTTTTAGCCCCTAAATTCCTGGTGCCTCATCTCCCATTTTCCTCTCCTCTCTCCCAGTCCGAGTCCCTCCCCTGGGCATCTGCCTGGGCTGCTTTCACTGATGCTGTTGAGTCAGAGGGCCTGGCTGTCCCCAACCAGCTTCTGGAGGAGACAGTATGGAAAAGCAGGGCTGTGAGGGCCACCAGGGAGGGAAACTGAGGAAGAGGATAATAGCCAATGAGGAGAAAACCAATCCAGCACATAGGCTTTTCATAAGAACTTTATTTCTCAAAAAGGGGGAAGAATCCAAAGTATTAAAATAATCCTCTAATTTTATTTTGGAGGGAAAAGATAGGATGACAATAATTCGTATAAAAATTTCAAGCATAAATGTTGTAGATACATCATCCTGACACTCTGCGCCTCCAGGTCCCAACTGCATCATGGGTACTGCTGAATCTCCTGGGCCCAGAAAGCGTCTGAAAGCTTATTTATATTCATTCCACAAATAAATACAACGATTGCCCTCCCAGGGGAAATGATTTGGTCCATTTTTGTGATTGTTTTTGATGAGAATGCTGAAGAGGCTGCCCCTCTTCTAAGTTCCAGACCTTTCCTTTTCAAAGATGATTACATGTGAAAGAAAAGAAATGTGGAAACAGTAGGTATGGCTGACTCTAGTACCAACCAAATGCCAAGGGAGACTTGACCTCACTGAGGCAATAAAAGGGGAGAAGCGGCCATAATCTTTCCATTGCCTCTTATGTGGGGAAACTGGACCTGTCTGCTTCTATCACTGAAGAAAACTGGACCATGAGAAGCAAAGTCCTGATCTGGAGCCATTAAGCGAAGTCCTTACCCATAACAATCATTTTCTAACTTAACAAAGAAAAAGAAAATAGTGAGCTGGATTTGGAGTCATTAACCAAGACTGATGCTGCCAAACTGAGCCCAGGAGCCCAGGTGTACGTTCCAACAGGAAGACTTTCCGGGGCCTGGCTCACCCGAGATTCTGAAGCCGAGTCTGCCTATGAGGACCTCTGGGAATTTCCCCGCTCTTCTCTGCCTGCTTTCAGTTGGTGTTTCTCTGAGGAACAGGGAGGTTCTCGTGAAGATATTTTAAACTTCCATGCTCTGAGAAATCCGAGACCACGTGGTCCTGCCCTCGCAGCAGCCACTTAGTAGTAAGCAGTCCCTCCAGTCCTACTGGTCCCCGAGCGTGGATCCGCGAGGTACTGATTCCCACTTCAGCTCCTGCAGAGAGGCACAGGTGAGAGTGTGGCTTTTCCTGCCTCTGCTTCCTGTCTGCCCACCAGCCCCCTCCCTCCTCTCACTTGGCACCCTCGCCCTGCACACTCCTGCCCATCCTCCCCATGCCAGCTTGAGTCCCACTGTCTGCACGTGTTCTCTGGTCGCTGTAAATCACACCAAGCCCCTTTCTCATGAAACACAACGTATGGGCCTCCCCTTTATACTTTATCAGAAGTGCTGTGTCCGACAGATATCTGTTTGGTGTCTGGACTGTGCATTTTTTGAGGTGTATAACAATGTTTAGTATGGCGGTTCCATCTCCCTAAATATTTTTCAAATCCTAGAGAGGGATATGTTCTCAGTCCCCCCAGAATTCTTAGCACTTGCGCTCTCACTAGACTGAACACATGCAAGAGTGCTGCTCATCTCCCACCCCCTCTTGCTCCAGGCTTACACGTGGGGACATCGGGGGTCTTCCTAGGTCTGGCTCAGTGCTCTGCACCGCACAGGCTGGAGGCAGGACTCTGGTGTCCACCACAACTGTACCGAGCAGAGCATGTACTGTGCAGGAGGCCCTGGGGATAAGGTGGTAACTGCTACAGGTCCTGTTTCTGTGGAGCGTATATTCTTGTGGGCAAGGCAGCCAAGAACATCCTGGGTTATGGGTGAAGGGTGCAGTGACAGACTGCGCGGTGGGTGGGTGCCTCCCTGAACCCTGAACAATGAGGTGCTGGCGGCGGAGGGGCAAGTGGAGGTGCTGCAGCAGAGGGAGGAGCAAAGGCAGAGACCCAAGGGGGGCTGAGCTGGGGGTAGCAGTTGGCAAGGAGAGTGAGCACCAGATTCAAATCCTGGTTTAATAATGTAGAGACCACATGACTCTGGGTGTGTCACCTAACCATCTTTCGTGCTTTAGTTTTTTTTCATTTAAAAAAAATGAGAAAACTAATAGATCCATGATGTAGAACTAAGTGAGATACTGCATGTGATGCACTTAACACAGCGCTGGGGATACAATAAATGCTCAATAAATATTACCTGTCACTACTACTAATGCATTTGGCTCAACCAGAGTCTGAGCTGCTGCTCTGAGCTGGGGGCGGAAAGATGATGGAGGGTCTCTTGCTCTCCCCACACCTTCGCTTTCACTGGAAAGCTGGGCGCCTCAGCCCTTAAAAGTATGCTGCCATTTTTTCTTCAAGGCCATGGACTACAGAGATCATGCAAGTGATGTGATATTAAAGCAAAACCCCAGCATAATAGAGACAGGAAACCAAAAATAAAGTGTCTAATGACTAAGAACTGAGTAAAATTCCCTTTAATAACCTTTAACAATTCAGTGAGAACTATTTCTCTAGGCAGGTCATCTATCCAAAAGTTCGGAGGGATTAAAATGTTTCCAGTGGTTGAACTACTTCTCAGGTATCTTAAGTGCCTGACTGGAGCTCTGTAAAATGGTACCCCTGAAAACCAGACAGGGTCTGAAAAGTCCCGAACTACTGGGGATGGAGATTCCATTATTAAAGTTGGATGGGGCAGAAGGGTGTCTTTCTGAAGCTTTTTATTTCAGTCTGCTTTAGAAGTAAACCTTGCACCCCTGGGCTTCCCTGCTTGTTTTTGGTGCTAACAAGTAAGCCCAGCATAGTTACTCACACCTTCTTTTGTCCTGTCCTCATGGGGAATTCCTAGCTCTGAGGCAGCCTGGCTGTGTCTCTCTAAAGTAAGTCTGCAATCGCAGTGCTCTCAGGGGACTCTGGTGCGTATACCTGTCACACCTGCGTATGGAGACAGGCTGTGGTCTGCTCGCACTGTAGTGGGAGCAACCCCGGTTCTGGGCTTGCACAAATTTGGGTTTGATTGCCAGCTGCGTGACTTTGTGCAGGTTACTTCACTTCCTTGAACCTCAGTCTCCCCAGCTATGGAAAGGAAAATGTAAGTACCTGCCTTCTTAATATGTGAAATGCCCAGAGTACAGGACTTTACCAGCTATTATTTTCTCTCATGTCCCCATCCTCCCACAACTCTCTACCATCTTGATCAAGCATGTGACCACAGAAGAGAGCTGTCTCCTCCACCCTCACCACGCTCCTTGGACTACACAGTGGTTCACAGGGACGCCTTTCTCCTATGACTGGAGTCCTCCTTACCCAGTCCGAAGCGGTAGCCATCCGAGAAGCGGGTGCTGGCATTCCAGAACACACAGGCACTGTCCACGTGCTGGAGGAAGAACTCTGCTGTTTTCTCTGCAGCAGAGAGAGCAGAAACTGAGTTAGGACGACCTGCAGAGAACACCCTGCTTCCAGCCCCTCACCAGGGACTGACTGGGTGGGGTCCAGGACCCAAGGGGCCTCCCATGGGTTAAACATGGATTTTTAAAAAACCTAGAGGAAGAAGGCAAACTGGCCTCACCAGTCACTGCTGTGGAGAGTAGATGCCTGGGAAAGACGGGGATGGACCCCGAGCTCCTCTGCAGACATACCCTCGCTGCTGCAATGGCCTGTCCACACTATTTATTTAGAAGCTCTGGAGCCAGAGTGTCTAAGTCTGAACTCCAACTTCACACCCACTAGCTGGGTTATCTTGGGCAGGTTGCTGAACCTCTCTGTGCCCAAGTAGAATGGGGAGCGACACTATGACCTAGCTCACAAGGCTGTAAAGAGGGTAAACTGACTGACACTGCAGAGCACTCATCGGTGTCTAGCACACAATAGGTGCTCCATAAATGTTGGCTGTTACTACTGGTAGTGCTGTGATTCCCCAATAAACTGACTGTAAATCCCCTGAAGGGGCCGGACTGGCTTCCTTTATCATTGGGTCCCAGTGCCTGACACCTGGGCATGGGTTCCAGTACATATCTGTACAGTGGATGAACAACCATGGAGCTGATTCTGCCCTTAATCCCAACGCTTGGTTTCCTCAGCTGTAAAATGGGTTTATTCCAGTAACATGGAAAGACTGTTGTGTGGATTAAATGGTAACGCCTCTAACCCAGAAGAAGTAGTCTTTATTCTTTTTAACCCTCACCCGAAGATATTTCTTCCATTGCTTTTCAGAAAGAGAAGGGAGAGAGAGAAAGAGACAGAGAGAAACATGGATATGAGAGAGACACATGGACTGGTTGCCTCCCGCACCCGCCGCTGGCCAGAATTGAACCCGGGACCCTTTAGTCCACAGGTGGACACTAACCGCTAAGCCAAACTGGCCAGGGCGAAGGCATCATCTTTAAAGTGGAGTTAATCATCTCTTCCCTGCCTCCTCCCACGGGGCCACTGTCACTATATAATGAGGTAACAGATGTGAGGGTACTCGGCAAACCAGCAAATGCCACCGACAGCAGGCATCATCATTTGTCTGTTCAGATTATGTTTCCTGCGGGACAAGAGGGACTGCGAGGAGCAGAACCACCTCGGAGGTGTAGGCAGAGAAGGCGGATGCCAGATGCTGAAGCGTCTGCCCACTGACCGTTCTCCGTGACGATGACCTCCGTGTGGGAGCTGCCGTACTTGTGGATGTGGTCAATGGCCTCCTGCACGCTGTCCACCACTTCAATGCACAACTCCAGGTCCCCATACTCAGTTCGGAGGGACTTCACTTCCGAAGGGCTAAAGGTCAGATAGGAGGCGAACTTGGGGCCTGCGTGAATTTTCACCTGGAACAGAGGAAGTCCAGGGGCAACAACAGAAACACAACATGAGGAAACAAGCTCACGCTTCCTCCAGGATCGACAGAGGGAGGGGCCTGCAGCTGAGAAGGCCAAGGCTCCCGTGGCCTGGACACTAAACTAGTCCCTGCCTTCCTCTCAAGGGCAGCCTTCTGACCTCCAGGACGCCCTGCTTTTGAAAGTGCTGAATGACCACTTGCTGGCAACAGGCCCTCAGCAAAACTAGAGCAGGGGTTTAAGGAGGAAGCCTCTGAATGTTAAGATTGTGCCAGGCATTGAACAGGCTATCCACATAAGCCCCTGACTGCTGGCATTTTACTAACACAAACACCTAACTATAAAAACCCCGTTCCCTGCATATGGAGTATACATACATGTTGGAAATTTACTAGCATGGGTTGCTCACAACCTTACTGATATAGTAAGAGAATAATCTCAGAAAAAGAGAATATTATACAAATTGTTAACTCCCAAATACCACTGTATTAAGTGCATTAATATTAGTAATTTGTGCAGGGGTGGATACAAAAGATTCTTGGTTTGAGAACATTTCTGCACAATCTTTTCAAATCATATCCAAATATCAATGTGTGTTCAGACACACAAACTTTAAACCAATACCACCTAAAAAAAAGCTGCCAGAAACAGTCTATTCAGTGGGCTGCCCTGTGATCCATCTTATCTATGAACCCTCTTAGCACTAAACACATTCCACTCTGTAATGAAGCTATTTGTGTGGGTTTCTCCCACCCACTAAGGGGCAGGGGGCATGTCTCCATGTCTTACTCATCTCTGTGTATTTAGCCCAGAACTCTGTATACAGCAGATGCTCAGAAATACTGCTTCTTGAATTGCCTCACATGGTGCGGCAGATGCTCCTGGTCTAATCCCACAGGCTCTCAATCTCCATGTGGAAGGCAGGAAGGGATGTGAACCCTGTGGGCTTGTCTTACCTGTTCCACTCTCAGCATGTCAATGATCTGGTCAAACAGGGGTGTCCTTAGGTGGTCTCGGTGGATTAACAGTGTCTCCAAAGCATTGCAGGCAGCTGGATATTCACATTTAGAGTCTCTGACTAAAGAAGAACAAAGAATTTTTCTATTAACATGATCCAGAGCCACAGAGGACTTCGACAAATATTTTGCCCAAAACAGGGGACCCCACCCAGCGCACCTAGTCTAGAGGCTTTGTCGACACTGGCCTCTGAATCCACGTACATGTGGCAGATCCCTTCACTGTGCCCCATCACCGGGATCCCCTTGGCGGCTTTCTGGATGTCTCTGACCAGCTGGGAAGAGCCGCGTGGAATGATGAGATCTATAATTTTGTCTAGTCGGCAAAGGTCTTCCACTTCTTCTCTGGTATTCACCTGAAGAGGAGAAGGAAAAGATGAAGAGGGCATCTTCTAACCCCACAAAGTACAGGAGCAGCAACACCTCCTGTACAGACAAATATCTGCACCTCCTGAGCGCTAAATCCACTGAAAACTTGCTCCAACACAAGATTAGTCCCTTATCACGGGAATTGAAGTTGTCCAGCAAATGCGCACCAAACACTGCACATCAGGTGCTGTGTTCTGCATGACAACATCCAGGACCAGACCCTGCCCTCCAGCAGCTCAGAGTCCAGAAGGAAAGACGGGGCTACGACATGACCAGTCATCCACTGGGCAGATAATTTTTAAAATGCCAGGAGAGGTACAAGTGCTATCTCTGGAAGTTAGAGGAGGAATAGATTATGCCAGGCGATGAGGATCACAAGAGAAAGTGGCTGCCCTGGTGGTTCTCTACCCAAGGCCTTAATGACATGTTGGGTCTTGCTAGGGAGTCATGGTTCTTCACACCTTCTGCTGACAACCTCAACCCTGGGATGCTGGCTGGACTGACGAAAGAGCTTGTGTTAGGACACTGTATTATGGGCATCATTTCGTCTTCTTGATTTTTAATTTCCCCCTATATGGTCATGTTACTTAAATGAGAAATACAAAAGCACGTGTACAAAAATGATCACAGCAGCTTTAATCTGCACAGTCCAAAACTGGAAACCACCCAACTATTCATCAACAAAGAAAGGCTAACCTGTAGTATGTGCATGTGAATGGAATAGTACATGGCGGTGAAAGAGAAAACTACTGCTAAAGGTGCAGCAATGTGGATGAAGCTCGTCACATAATAATGAGCAAAAGAAATGCAACATAAAAGAGCGCACTGTGTGATTCCATTTATATGATGTTCAAGAACAGGCAAGAGACTGAATGTGAAAGAAGTAAAACAGTGGTTACCTGCTGCTGAGGCAGGGGCATACTGACTGGGAAGGGCACCTGGGAGCCTCGGGTGTTGGAACTGTTCTGTATCTAATACGTGTGTGTGTGTGTGTGTGTGTGTGTATACACACACACACACACACATATATATATATATACATACAGACAATAATCACACAAGGTCTGTATACTTACTGTATGTATGTTGTACATCAATGGGGAGGAGGGAAGGGTGGAAGCCGGCTGAATTAAGCTAGGATGTGGTAGAGCTGCAATTTGAATCCCTAAAATCTGTGGTCTCTCCACCATGTTGCCATGAAAAAAACCCAGACTCTCATCAGTGAGCATGTGATGCAGCAGGTTTTGGAGACCCTCCCCCAGCAGCCCAAAGAACCCTGGAATGTTGGGGCGAGTGGGCCTTGATGGAAAAGGGAAGGATCTGGAGCCAGCCTAAGTCCAAATCTAAACTCCACTACGGACTGTGATTTCGGGTGAGTTACTTAACTTCTGAGCCTATTTTCCCCCATCTATAAAATGGGCCTAGTAATTGATATTTTTCTCGTAGAGTTGTTGAGAGGATTCAGTGAGATAAGGAAGAGCCCACAGTAGCGCTCAATAAATTGTAGCTCTTGCTATCTAGTTCAGAAATTCCATTTGACAGTTGAAGAGTATAAGACAATGGTTAAAATAATGACCATAATAAGTAATGGTAACAGCATGACCTAATACTTACACGCTCCATGACAGTTTATGACAAATTTTCATAAAAATTTATCTCATCTGACTTGGCCTAAATCACTCCGCCAGTGAGCAGAACCGAGGCCTCACACTCTAGCTGTGGTATTCCTATTGCCTGTGACCTAAAGAATGAAGGGCTAACAGGCATTCCTGTATGTCAATAGTGCCAGGACACAGCTGTGTGAGAGCGGCCTTCCTAAGCCACTGAAGACCCATCTGGCATTATCCAATGTCAGCAGACACACAGGACCTGCTGCCACTTCAGTCAAGCCTGCCCACAGAATTGGATTGGACTTACATGGCCTAAACTTTGTTTCAAACACCCAAAGACCTGACCTGGCTCATCCTCAGGGACCTACCAGCTGTACGGCCTCCTTGACTCCATGGGTTGAGAGGGCCTCCTGGGTCAGGAGGTGAAGAATCCGGTTGCTGTGTGCGGCCTCCTTCCCTCCTTTGAGTAACAAGCCATTACCACTTGCAATAGCCAAGGCTGCCACCTGCAGATCAAAGGGGGAAGCAGTGAACCACAGGGAAAAGACAACAGCAACAGTAGCACTCACTGGGCACTTTTCCTGTGCCAGGCACAGTGTCGATCATTTTATAAGGCCTATCCCTGTTTAATCTTCACAACATTCCAGTGAATTAAGTACTGTATTTTATCTCCCAGTTTACAGATAAGGTCACTGAAGCCCAGAGATGTTGGTGACTCTGCAAGGACACATAGCTTGTAAGTGGCAGGGCTGGGAGCCCTAAATGGAGCCAAATCACTTGAGCTGGGGAACTAAACTCTTAATTCTTCCTCCACACCATCAGCAAAGTAACCTGAGTTAAGTGGCCATGGTCACATAGCCCCCTCCCTACAGTGGTCACGATGACGACCGGGTGCTCAGCTGCCTCCTGCCTCAGGTGCTTGCTCACCTGACTTGAGCCGAGGCTGGCCAGCATTTCTGGCCACATCTTACCCTGTCACTGTTGTGAGAGCTCTAAATGCCTGGTGCTGAGAACCTGGAGAGGACCAGAGCTCCTGCCAGCCCCTGGATAGCTCTGGCAGGAATGCTGAGAATGGAGCACAAGCCTGTCTGGGTAGGAAAAAGCAGGCCATCCAGAGGGGGGATTCAGCCACACTCCTAGAACAAAGAACTCATTACACTGACCTGCTCGCCCAGGGCATGGAGCTTAACTTTCCGAACACTCTAGGAGTAAATAAGAATCTTCCTGTTTTGGTTAAGTAGGGAAAGACACTTGGCTAAAACACCGTGCATGAGTATGTTCATCTCCAGATCAATGGCTTCTAATCTTTTTTTGTTGTTGCTCATGAACCCTTATAAAAGTTATATAAACTTTCTCCAGAAAAATGTACAAACACACTGAATTCTGCATACAGCTTTTAGGATTCAGGATCCTGTGATACTATCCAAGGTAAGACCCCAGGTGAGGAACCACAGCTGTAGTTGGCTAAAGAGGAAACTTTTTACCTTGGGAAGTGTCAGCTAGTGTGGCTAAAAGGGAGCAGAGAAACTTCATGGACAAGGCCTGCACAGAGACTAAGACCCATTTCTACCAGCAGAGGGGGCTGTGCAGTTCTCTCTGGGGCATTTCCGAAACAGGTCAGAGGGGCCAGATGGTGTGGGAGTGCCTGGGTGAACAGGCTGGTTTTAGGTGGTGTCAGGGAGAATCCTCCACAAAGCATTCTGGATTCCCATGGTCACTTATGCCCTGTAGTAAAGAGTGCTGAATGTTTGTTTTTTAAATAGACTTTGTCTTTGAGACTTAGTGGCTAGGTCAAAAAAAGAGCTGGTATCATCCTACTGGATAGTCCAATGGGCGATAGTCCCAGATTTCTGGGAGAGTTTAAGGCAACAAGAGCATGGCTACTGGCAAGCTCTTTAATACATGGCTTCTCAACATTAGCCTGTGATATGTCAGATTCCTGAAGAGGATTATATTCTAGTTTCCATCACTACTAGATATTCTTTTTCTAAGATGTACCTATAGGAAGCTATCTGTGATGCTGATAATAAAGGGGCCTTTTTCACATGAGCAAAACCAGATCTGAGATGAACGACCTGCAGAAGGCAAGCAGGGGTGAGGGAAGTGCCCAGTGAGCTAAATTATTTGGAAATGTGCTCCCGTGTCATGGTATGGGAGACTCATCCAGGCTCAAGGCCCAGATCCATCCTTGTAAGTTTCACAGTAATTTCTATAAACTTCAGTTTCTTCAATGGCAAAATGCACATATATAAACACCTACTTTAGAATTACTGCAAGAATCAATAACATAAATTACCTTAAGAACAACCTGAGATCAAAGTCTCAAAAATTATTTTTTTTGGGAAAAAAAAGATAAAACTTTCTCACTTAAGAAAAAAAAAAGAATCTTTGGGAGATTTATCTCAGCATTAGTCACGGACCTGGGGTAGACAGTCAGGGCGAGACTCAAAGATGACCAGTAGGACTCCGATTGGGACAGTCACTTGTTCTAGTTCCAAGTTTTTGGCAATTCGGGTCCGGCGCAAAACACGCCCCACGCTGTCCTGGGAGGAGGCAGCAATCTGCCGCAGACCGATGGCCAGGCTGTTCAACTTAGACGTGGAGAGGCTCAAGCGTTTCAGCAGAGGGGCTGCAAGTCTCCCTGGAGAAGTGCGAAGAATATACGATAAAGGAGCAGATCTGGCATATAAAGGTATGTAAACCCATATCCTTTGTACAAGCCAGTTCAGTTCCAGAAACATCATCTGCGTGAATAAACTTGCATGTAATGAGGATACTTATCACAGCATTTTTATAATGGGAAACTGGATTCCAACTATAAATTCAGTTAACATGAAACAGCCGTATCAAATGATATGCAAAGCTGCTCAGAGTATAGCTTGTGAAAAAGTAAAACTACAAAGCGGCATGTATGACAGGATCCTATTTATCAAACATGACATGGATACATGTCTGGAAGGCATCAGAACAGTGGTGATCACTGTCTATATTTCTGAATTATTTCAATCTTTTATAATAAATGATTTTCATAATCAGAAGCAATGAAGACGTTTGCTTTTGAAATAAAAACTTAAATAGAATTGTAAGTTCATATATACAATTTTCTTTAAATTTAAATACGACAGTATGCATGGAGTGATTCTCTGTACATACACATGTACAAGTATATGCATGAATACATACTCAGGGAAACCATACGGAATCACATATCATAAATCATCACTGTGGTTAATGCTGAGAGTATGAAAATGTTCCCTTTCTTTTTTATAGCCACACCCACCTAGATAATAAAAAGATTTCTACTTTGGAGAGGAAGAACCAACCTTATATTAAGAAAAATACTAAAGCATCATTCTACCACACAATATCAAAATCATTTAACTATATCAATTAATTTCCTTCACATTTCCCCATGTGCTAAAAATCAAGTTTTAATTATAATGCATGTTAAATGTTACACTCCAGTTTTTCACCTTTCATTTTCCATGTTGCAAAATTACTTTAATGACTATTAAATATTTCACTGAGTTGATACAGGTTAATGCACTTAACCACACTCACGTTATTAGACATTCAGGTAGTTTCCAGTTTTCAGTGCGATAAAGAATCCTGCTCTAAGAATCTTTACATAGAGCTGTTTTCTCCTCTTGAAGTATTTTCTTGGGGTACATTTCCTGAAATGGGCCTCCTGAATCAAAGGGGATTACCATGTTCACGTCTACCCAGGACTTTGTTCTTAAGCCACTGTGTATCCTCGTGAATTACCAGACTGAAGTAACTGGTATCTGAAGTCAAGAGTTCTGCCAACCACTAATAGTGTGAAAAACAGCTTTAACCTCTGTGGGTCTTACTTACTTTACTTTAAAGAACTAGATAAGATGTCATCAAAGATTTCTTCCATTTTTGAGAGTTTATTTTATCACCTTCCAATACTGCAAAAATTCAAAAGACTAGATGTAAACTACAAAGGAAGTTCCAAAGCAATGGCTCAAATGTGTATTGAGGAATGAAAATAATGTCGATGAGCCTGCAAGGTTTCTTTGAACAAAGCAACACTACTTTGGATGTTTAATTTACGGTACATTTATTCAAGAGAGAAGAAGATTAAAAAACCCCCAAAATCAACCCCCATTATTTTAGGGTGCCAAAGGCAAAGAATTAGGAAAAGGGTGAGAAAGAGGGAGAGGGCCCACCTGGCTCTACATAGTTAGTTGTCTGCAAAGTGCGTTCAGCCATCTCTCTCCTCTATATTAGCACCTCGAGGGCATTTCTGGTTGGCACCTGTTGCTAACCCTGGTTAATTCACTAGGAGATAAGCTGTCTTTCATTACAGGCTGCATCACCTATTCTACAACTATTTTACAGGCACAGTCCATCTGGGTTTGAATCCGGATCTGTCACTGGCCATATGGTTTTAGGCATGGTGACAACTTCTCTGTGCTTTACTCTTCTATAGTAGCTACCTCATAGTGCTATATTGTAAAGATAAAATGAGACCCTGTCTGTTAAGCCCTTAGCACAATACCTGGCAACACAGAAAAGCAGCAAGAAATGTTAGCTGCTGTTAGCTGAATGTCTACAATAGTGAGGTCCTCAATTTTTTTCTTTTTTGCCTTGAGATTGCTGTAACAGTCATGCGGGGAATGGAAAAAGCCCCTGTGGGGGTTGTTTTAGAATATCTGGGAAAGGGTATGGAAGTAGTGTGTATAGTTTGAAAGAACCCAAGGAACACTAACCACCAACCCTCAGTAAGTAGGATGCAAAACATACAGTTTCTTCTATAAGGATCGTGACTTTAGGTAGACTATGATGTAAGACTTAAACAAAACCCTCCTTAACATCAACCCCCAAATTGCCTGGTATTTACCCTCTGCCTCCTCCAAGTCTTTCTTATTCGCTGACAGGATTTCATCTCGATGGTCCGTCAACAGATCAGCCAGATGATGGATAATCTCTGCTCTCTAAAACATTAAACAAGCAAACATTATCCAAGGACGCATGCCTGCTCCTTTAAATCTACCCTTCTGAGCATGCCAGGCCTTGCTCCTAAATCCAAGGTCACCAGGGAAATGAGATCTTTTTATTTCCCATCATTCATTTCCCACCACTGCTCCTCTCTGTTTGCCTTCCCTCTCACTGTTAAGCTCCCCCTATTTCTTCTGACTTCTCTTCTTCTCTACCACTCCTGGCCCAAGGTGCGGAAGGGGGAATGATGAATTATACAACTTATCCGTGAGACAGGGCCAGCACTTTGCATCACATCTCCACACATTTAATACCACTTGCTGTATATAGTTCATTTCCCAGGTAAGTTTTTGAATCTAGATTTTCTTTTTTGAAAATTATTTATTTCATTAATTCAAAGGGGGGTCCAGTCTTGAATGTCTGAGGAAACCCCTGCCTTACCCACCTCAATTAGGAAATGTAGGAAGTCAGTGTGGTGATTACTGAAGGAGTAACAGTGGTTTAACAGACAGAAGCTAAGCTAGGCTCTTCCTCTGCTTTCCTTTTTCCATTTGTAGTTATTTTAGATTCTCTTTTCCTTTCTCAGGCCAAAGTACTCCTCAGAGGAAAGCTTTATACATCTCTCAAACCCATCCTGAACAACACAAGCCTTGGGAAGCCAGCCCCCAGCGCCCACCTGACCTTCCCGAATTTCCAGCCTCATGGCATCTGCTACTTCAACTGACATTCACTGTGGACAGGGTGGGGGCTATGACTATAAAGCAGGCCCTTGGGCTTCTATCTTATAGGTCAGTTAGAGGATTTGGACGATTGGATGAGTCATTTTCCTATGTCTGCATGCCCAGTATGTGACAGGATTAGGGAGCCTCCTCGGTCTCATCACTTTCGTGATGTTTTTGATCAAATCATCAGGATGATGAAAAGCTACCTGAGGCCTCAGACACAAAAGACAAAATTTAGAAAAAGACAGAAGGCAGAGTGAACCTGAATCAGACTTGTAACTCGGATAACTCTGGGGGACACGAGGAATAAAGGGGGAAACAGCAGGCCTGTGTCCAAACCTCACAGCATGACTCACTCTGAAAATGAACAAAACCATCAGCTAGGGTGGTTATTACCTGCTCTGGTTCCAAAGTGGCCAACATCCGCCCTCCTGATCGAGCCATTTCTCCTTGCTGCTCAACGGTAGGGCCTGCAAGCACATTTGCAAATATCAGATCATGGTTAGCTTAGTTTCCTGTCACTATCTCAGCAGGTACACAGGCTCATCACATGCGTGGGCGATACACTTGGTGTCTTGCTAGTCTTGTTGCATGTACAGAGACCACTCTGACCAATAACATGGCAAAAGGATACACCAGATTAACTCAGGCATGAACACAAGAAACTTGTCTGTATTCCTGGGGTAGACAATGTAACTTCTAGAGTTCAATTCCACTTTGACTTACATTTTCTAATGTGTCTACATTTCTGAGTGCAGATTGTAATGCGAGTATCTTTGTGAACATGTAAGGGCAAATACCGTATCTTAGGCATCTCTAGTGTTTATTAGTGTCTGGCACCCCGCATGGGCCTAGTATAATGTTTGTTGATAAAATGGTTGCTAATATTCTTTAACTTAGTGATCTTAGAGAAAACTAGGAGGCCTAGTTAGGCTGCTTGGATAAATTTTACAAAAGCAAAGCAAAATCCAGTTTTGCAAACAGTATTCAAAACAACACCACATTTCACAATACCGGCAACATCAATTCCGTGATCTCTGTTCCCAGACTGAGAGCTCAGTCTTCCATCTAAGCCATGGTGTCACCAGCTATCTTCCACAGACCACAGGACTCCACAAAGGACTACTTACCTGCAGGCTTGACTTCAGAAAAGAAGGTGCCGACTTTCTTTCCCTCCACGATGTCTGTGATGACATGTCCAGACACTTTGGGGTGGGTTCCATTGGCAATAACGACAGAAGTGCCGCCTTGCAAAGCCCAGAGGGCTGCTTTCACCTAAGAGGAGAGGTCAGTCAGATCCAAAGATGAGATTCAGACCTTTGCAGGGTCTAGTCACCTGCACTATACATTTGCAAAAAGATATAAAATGCAATGTGATGTGCAGCAATTTAAGTATACGAAGGACTGTTTCAGAAGCTCTGAAACACACCCAGCCCATCACTCTTCCCAGCCCAAACGTGGCACATGATGCCTAAAGATGAAGCAATCTACCCTTCGTGCTCAGCATGTTCTGACTCGCAACATCCATATCTGACATACTGTGCCTCAACTCGGTGTCTGTCCCGTCTGGTGTTTGGCCAGAGTGTGAAGCTGAGAACTTTTAGCTTTTGTAAATGGGGCTCTGTCCTCATTTCTGCTATTGCTATGTGTGATGCTGTACCTTAAGAGTATAGCTTCTTAGAATGATTAATGGGAGAGAAGAATTTTTGCAAGGTTTCATCAAGAAATATTTGAGCTAATAACATTAGAGGATTTATGAATTATGAAAACAATACAGACCTTGCCCTTAAGGAGTTTACAGTATGAACACACTCTTTATGTAATATTAATAAAAGAATGCATATACAACATGAATACAGGTACACAACATGCATTAAGCCTGTATTTAGATATGTGCATGTGTAATTGTGTATGTGCCTAGTATGTGAACCATTAGCCCACAAACAATTACAAAAGTAAAAATGATGGAACAGCATTTTGGTTTTATAACTGTTACTGGCAGTAAAGGTGCCAGATTCTTACCTTGGCTTCCATGCCACCCATTCCCACTCTCGACTTGGTTCCAAATGTCACAGACTGCTGATCTCCGGGATAAAATGTATCGATGAGCTTTGCATCATCTGACCCTGGGGGGCTGTCAAAGAGTCCTAAAAAGTGAACAAGGGTCAATAATACTGCTTTAATGGATGTAAATGTCCCCCAAGAGAGGCCTCCCAGGCTCTGCCAACCACTCTGTACTTAACCCATCCAGACGGATTCTGCTGTTCCACCAGCTCTACCCAGAAAGGAGAATGCGGGACCGAGGACTCCACCCCGCTGGGAACAGCTCCAGGACTCGCCTCGCATACTTTATAACCAGCTTAATAAACGCACATCTGCCAGCATCAGAGCATGGCCATATCTTTGGTGCAGAATTTATTAGCCCTGCCCACAGTCTACCAGGAAGCTGTCCCCATCTCTGCCATTGCTACTTGTGATGCTGAACCCTAAGGGTGTAGCTGAAAAAGACGAGTGACTACTGCAGAAACAGCGCAGCAGCCTTACGCTGTTCAATGTGACTACTTCCCAGTGGGATGAATGTGAAGCAGGTTCTCATGGACTCATAGTACCCTAGTCATATGCCCCATGTTATGGGCGTGCCCTGGTGAAGGTCAGGCTGAATCAGCAGAAGAGAGCATGACTCCTGCACTCAGTCTGGACTTATCACCACAGAGCCTGCATCTATTTTACAACTGAGCAGAGTGACATAAAGAGAGTCACATGAAATGTTACATGCATACAATCCAAGATTAAAAATCCTCACAATTTCACCTTGAGCAAGTCGGGGCCTTGGGAGGGGAAAGAGGGGCTTGAGGAGATGGAGTCGGGTCAAGGACTGAGGTGGGTGCAGACAGGGAGGACTAGTGCATGGTGGGAGACTGGCTGAAGGACACTTGGGGCAGTGCCACTTCTGGTTTTAACTCACTGCCTTGCTTGTGCTGAAATACACCCCTCCATTCCACTATTCCAAATCTTTAACACAGCCCTGCAGTGGTAGCAGAAAAAGTCACCTCTCACAGCCTCTGCACCACCACCCAGCACTTCACAGCTCTCAGGACTTAGCTCACGCTGTGTACTGAGGTCCCAGCCTTGGATTCTGAGGCTTTTTGTTTCATACAATAAATGGGATAGGCAAGGTAGGAAAAGTCTAAGCCAAACCTTCTGCAGAGACATCTAAAGAGGTTCCTAGCATTCTGATATTCTGTCCACTCCTCTTTTTCCTTTACAACAGCCTCTCAAACCACTAAGAGGATATTTAGAATTCTGATACTGTTCTAAAAATCAGCATTCAGTGGATAACCAATTAGTTACGAGCACAAACCTGTGATGAGCAATTTTGGTGTATGGGGCTACATTCACTAGAGTCCAGTTCAAACTGGGTTTTATACATTGATTGCTCACATTTACATCCTTCAGAAGGAAGAGTGCAGATTTTTTATTTTTATTTAGAATTTTTTTTTTTTTGAAAAATGTATCTTTATTGATTTCAGAGAGAGAAAGGGAAAGGGAGAGATGGAAACATCAATGATAAGAGAGTCATTGATGGGCTGCCTCCTGCACGCCCCCTACTGGGGATCGAGCCCACAACCCAGGCATGTGCCCTGACTGGGAATTGAACTGAGATCTCCTGGAACATAGGTTGATGCTCAACTGCTGAGCCACACCAGCTGGGAAAGAGTGCAGATTTTTTTAATTGAAAGGAGTAAGATCTGAAACTGGCCCCTGCCAAGTACTAGCTATGTGACTTTGGATATACCATTTAACTGATGTGAACTTAAATTTTAATTTCTTTACCTGAATAATTGGGCTACCCTACCTACCTTACAGAGCTGTTATAAGGATTGAATAAATTGACATTTATAAAGTACCTAGCATGGTATTTGCGCACAGTAGAAAATTTTAAAAATCTGATTAACTGAAATGCTTTCTTCTCCAGGGTGGCTCACTCTTATCCCAAATTAGCCGTTCCTATCCTGAGATTTCAAATTTACAGTGGATAAACTTGGTACCAAGATTTATTATAGGTAAAGACACAGATGTGTAAGTATGGTATCTCTGACCACCCCCACAGGCGGGGGACTGACCGATCCGCCTGTTTGCCCCTGCTGCCCCACCCTGACCATACACAGCTGGAGTGCTAATTGGAGAACAAGCCTGGCCACGTTGAGCTACCTGCGGTGAGTGCTGGGAATTAAACAGACTTTTCTGACCTCCTGGGAATGTAATGGGGGACTTTCTGAGATCCTATAGATTTTGCCTATTTCTGACACAGCTATTATACTCCTTATGGGTCAAAAATGTAAATAGGAACAGCTCAGGAAAGTGGGAAGAGTTAAAGGAGAGCCAAACTGGAGTCACGAGGGGCCCCTGCATGAGGAGGGAGGGAGGACTACAGTAACACATAAGCCAAGGGGGCCACACAGCCTGGATTTTCTGCAGTGGCTCCAATTTAAAATAATCTGTCTCATTAATTACATTAAAAACTGAAAGGGCTCAAAACCATAATGATGTATCACTTCCTACCCACCAGGACGGCTATCATAAAAAAGGCAGATAAGAAGAGGTAAGTGTTGGCCATGATGTGGACAAACAGAAGCCCTCACACATTGTGAGTGGGGATGTAAAATGGGCATTTTATACCATCCTGGAAGTGGTTTGTATGGGAAATGGAGTATGTGGTTTGGAAAAGTCTGGCACTTCTTCCAAAGGCTAAACATGGAGTTATACCACATGATCCAACAATTCTGCTCCTGGGTAAAATAAAAAACATGTCCACATTAAAACGTGTACATGAAAGTTCAAGGCAGCATGAGGGTATGATTTCATTTATATAAAATATCCAGAACAGGAAAATCAATAGAAACCACATAGACTAAGATTGTACAGGGCTGGGAGTTTGTGGGGAAGTGAGCACTGACTGCTAATGGGGATGGGGATTCTTGTGGTGGTGATAAAATGTTCTAAAATTGTGGTGAGGGTTGAAAAACTGTATGAAGACACTAAAAACCACTGAATTGTAAACTTTAAAGAGGTGAACGGTATGGTACGTGAATTATATCTCCATAAAGCTGTTATAAAAAACGCAACTAAAGCGCCTGAAAATGACAACACTTCAGCATTTAAACTGCACCTCCCAGACTCCCCCACCTTCTTCTGAGTCATAAAAACCCTGACAGAACTCATGGTTCAGAAAATAATGGTCCACAGTAAAAAAAGATCAGAAGGACTCAAGGAGGAAAACTCGTGCTCACACATGTTGTGTTTAAGACAAAGGCTGGATTAAAGGAAAAGGCGTTACTTTGTACCTTCCACATCTGAAAGTACAATCAAGAGGTCAGTTTTCATTTCCACAGCCAGTCGGGCAGCCAAGCTGTCATTATCTTTAACGCTAATAACCTGGAACGTAGGTAAAAAGTCGTTAGTGAGGTGGAGTTCAAAAGGAAGTTCAGAGGCACTCAGCCAGGCTCCGGCAGGCAAAGCTGATGACCGCGTATGTGGATGACAGCATATGCAGGCCCCTGTCTGCAAAACACCATCCCTCCTGGCAACCCCCCTTTCCAAACATGCACCCTTCCATCCACTGACATACGCAAGCCATGCTCACAGCAGCATCTTCAATCACTATTACACCTCACCCTGCTGAATGAAACCCTCTGACCCCAGAACTCATGTACCACTGCTCATGGTGCCACCTCTCTCCCAATTTCTCCACCTCGTTAGTGCCAGCCCTCCGGTGTTAGTAGTACATGCAGCACAGCATGGCATTAGTGTCTCCAGCATGCTTGACCCTTAGGAGTACTGTACCCACATTTACCCCCTGGAGATCACTATTGGGCTCAGCTGGGGGGACAACAGCGTCGTTTGTGTTGACAATGGGGACAATGTTCATTCGGAGGAGCTCATGAAGTGTCCCATTGAGGTTCCGGCGCTTCTGCTCATCGTGGAAATCCAAGTTAGTCACCAAAATCTAAGCGGTTTTAATAGATAAAAAATGAGGAGAGAGAAAAATGATGAACTTTCTAGAACAGCATACAAAAGATGCTAGGACTGGAGGAGTTAAACTTTGGGCTTCTGAGATCCCACACATTGGAATGGAACATACATCTTTGGAAGGACATTTAACCCATTTTTCTAGGGATGGGGAAAAGGCTGGAATCACTTGGAAGATTTAGTGATGTTCAGGATTTCTTCTAAAGGCATTCTAAAAGTACTTTAATTCTCAGAGAGCTACCAAATCTCATCCATTTCCAAAATTAGGAAATTAATGCATCTACTTTGGAGGGATATTGGGGAAAGTAATGACTGCCATTAACTTCTAAAATATCTTTGTATCTTAGCATCTGATTCAGGCACAGAAACATCTGGTGAGCAAATGAATGAATGGTCTTCCCTGCAGGGACGTGTCTGAGATAAAAGGAAACAAGGCTGTGTCATCACTGTTCTTGCTCACTGTCCAGCAGCGACCACTACTGGAGTTTACGAAGACTATGTGAGCATATGGGGCTAAACTAAGAGGTTGATAGAAGTGAATCTTTAGTCACAAACTGAAAGAAGGACTAAACATAACTTAGTTCAGGGGAGGGGATGAGCATACACGGCTCAGAGGTAGAGTGGAGAGCTGGTTGTCGGGCTAGGGGTCAGCTCTGCTTCCCTGCCTGAATCCAAGTTTTCAGCAGGGCTCAGCAGGAGAGAGAGGTAAACAGGGATGATGGGAAGAAAGTAAATGGTAACAAACCCTGAAGCTCATGAATAAATGTTTCACCCCCAAGCCCTCTTGATGTTTACAGATGAGGGTTCCTGTGGTGTAAGGCAGCTGGAGTAGGAATGGCTGGAGGCAGGTGGTCAAGAAGGAAGGGACCGAAACAGTGGGAAAGGCTAAGCCCTGAACTAGGATCTGGCTATGGTAACTAAGGTAACAGCAGCCTGAATGATGTATAAAATGTGAGTGATGAAGACAAAATAGTAACATGTCTAAGAGAACTAAGTCACTCATTCACTTGATAAATTTTTACTGAGTACCTCTGAAATGCCAGGGCCCGTACCAGCTGCTGAGATGGAGAGTACAAATGTGGGGAAGATGGAATGGGGCATAATTTTGTAAGGAGAGATCATGAAACTTTTTTTTTGAGAAAAGTTTAGTCCTGTAGGAAACAGGACTGAGTCAAAGGCAAACATACAGATTCTAGTTCTGGTGGTAAAAGGTCAAACAATAAAAGTAAACACGTGTGTGTAGGAGAGGTAAGCAGGAGGTATAAAGGTCCAGGGAAAATACCTACTTGTTGCTCAAACAACTTAACAAACGAGATAGGAGACAAGAGTCCTAAGAGAGAAAAGCATGTGTCTGGAGAAGGACAACCTGTGACCTCAGAAACCAGTATTATGCCTATGAAGAAAAAATAAGCTGCTGTACTTAAGTCTTTAACCTGCCAGACATCTTACTGGAGATTTCCAAAAGCCCCTGGAAATGGTCTTCAAAACAGGATTAGTAAAGAAAATAACGAACCACAGGATAAAGTGCAAAGGGCAAAGGCTTCTGGTAGATAAGATCAGTGGGGAAGGAGAAGGTAAGAGAGAAGGCGCCCAGGGTGGATGCTCGTTAGACAGTGGAGGGGACAGAGCTCTTTCTTCACGCCAACATTAATGGAAAGGATGGCTAATGTGCACTGACTTTTAATGTGTCATTCATTAAAAACACACACACCAAAAAAATTTTAAAAAAATCAAACCAGGGAAAAACCAAAACAAAACAAAAACAAAGTTCCTGGACATAAGTTTCCTCACCTGGCTCCAGTCAGTTTTAAAAAATTAAAGACTAAAATTGTCATTGGATTGTAGCAGAGGAGAGAGCTAGCTGATAGTAAAAGATGGCAGAAATAGAGATTTCCATTGAACTTATGCTAACAGAAAACAACACTAAGATGACAGAGAGTGGGGTCTCCAGCCACAGGAAACAGCTCCCTTTTTCAAGGACATTCTGGTATAATTCTAGAACATCAGTGAATAACAACTGTGAAATGATGGGGACACAAAGCAATAAGAAGTAGAAGAGAAAAACCTGAAAGGATGGGTACGTAACATCACCTGTGAAAAAGAACACTTATGTAAGTAGGTCAAGGGCAGCAAGGGAGTCTGAAAATAACAACCTGGGGAGTTAGATTTTTTTCAGTTGTTTTGTGATATTTAGATCTATCAGTGTTTAGTTGATGAAAAATGAAATTTAAAAAAATTCTGGAAATTTAGGTAAAAAAGAAATGTAGAAAGAAGGCTCTAGAACATTCAGAGGTAATCACTAAAAATTTTTAAGTTCCATGAGGACTGGAACCATGGCTGATTTGTTCACCACAGAATCCCCAATGCTTAACAGATTCCTTGGTACACCAAAGGTGCTCAAAAAATATTTGCTGAATGAGTGAAAAACTAACCAACCCCCAGCATTTCCTTTTATCTTCAATGCTTACTAGATATCTATAAGGCAACCAGGTGCTAAGTGACACAAGCCACCTGTAGTCTAAGTAGCCAATGAAATAAAGACATCTAACTTTTCTATCTATTAGCTGTTGTAGTAGCCCTAAGAGATATTAGCGTAACAACCAGAGCTAACACCTATGGAGAGTACACTGTGTACCAGGCACTGGGTTAAATGCTTTTCATATAGTATTTTCTCATTAAGCCCATCCAAACACCCTCTGAAGTAGGCACTGATATTACCCTCATTTCTCAGATAAAGAGACTGAGGCACAATAGGTTAGACTTAAAAACTCTCTCCAGATCTCCCAACTAGCAAGTGGTGAAGCCGAGACTGTCTCCTGGAGGTCTGGCTCCAGAGCCTTGCTCATAATCTTCTTGCTCCATGGGAATCACCCTCACAGGTCCCACACCCCTTGGCAAAGGCCAGTCTCTCACCTGGGCAGCACAGATGCTGTACTGGGTAAACATGGCTTCATACAAGGCCATCAGTCCACTCTGTCCCGCGGCTGCACAGGCTCGGGCCTCTAAGACAGGAATTGCCTGGAACATACCAACAGACAAGGTGTAGCTGGGAGTGAGGGAAGGAGCCTGAGGAACCCTATTACAGAGGGTGGGAAGCAGCACTCACCATCTCCTTCAGCTGGTTCTGGCCCGAGTGCAGAGCCTGCCGCACGCTCTGAGATAGAAGAATCTCGTGGCGCAAGCGCTGCTTGCCAAAAGCTACAGCTCCACTGGTTACCAGCATCATCTCTCGGCCTTGATTCTGTAGTACTGACACCTGACATCGAGGGAGAAAACCACACAAGTCACTTGTAACATCTTTTTCCTCTCTTCACAAGAAACCCAGGTAGGATGGACAATTGAGTGGATCCCAAATGCTGGTTTATGAACCAGCACTGGGCTGGCCCTGGGGAGAATCACCCAGGTTGCTTGGTAGAAATAGATTCCTACATGCTGACCCAAATCTGGTAAGCAGGTGGCAGATAGAAATCAGAAGTTTTTAATAAGGGATTCCGGTGCATAGTCAGGTTTGGCATCTACTGGGCCTGATGGTATCTGTTTTAGTTTGGTACCTGCAGAAGGCCTAGTTGTTACAGAAAAAAAAAACCCAGAAGAGAAGTCTGGAGCTCGGAATTGTAACACAAACTTAGCAGATGAATTCTCAAATTCTAAGGCATGAACTGGAGAGATGAGGCTGTTTCTGGTGCATGTCTGATCCCCATGATCACCACCTCTGACTAGACCAGGGGCAGATGCTCGCCCTGTTCAGCTGTCTGCCCAGGACCTGATCACTTTGCCCCCTACCTTGGACAGAGCCACATGAAAGGATCAAAGATTCAAGATGAAAATAGAGTCAATATTCCTAGCCTGTCCTTTCTTCCTGATGCTTGAACCCGATAACCTGGTTCAGGAACTCACAAAGTTATTTTAAAAAATAACTTTTTATCACTGAGAATCTCATACTTAACCAAAGTGCTAAGAACAGTATTATGAATTCCCATGTATTCATCACCCATCTTCAACAACTCTCTCTCATGGCCAATTTCTCACTTTCCAATACTCCTTGTATAGCTCCACCATTATTTCACTACAAAACCCAAGGCTCCAGACACACGATTTCATCTGTAAATATTTCAGTAGTAATCTCTAAAAGACAGGGAATATATATGTATACATCCATAAAACCACTGTCATCTAGAACATTTTAATAACTCCTTAATATCAAATATCAAGTCAGTGTTCACATTTCTCCAATTTTTTCAGCTTGCTCAAACTGAGATGCAAAGTAAGCCCACACATTGCAATTAACTGAAATGTCCCTTACATCTCTTTTAACCATTAGGTGTCTCTTCCAGCATTTTATTCCTTTGCTATTTTTTGTTAAATAAACTATGCTGTTTGCCCTTCAGGGTGTCCCAGCCTCAATTTTTCTGCCTGTGTCCCTGTGGTGTAGTTTAATGCTGTATTCTATATTCCTGCAAACTGCTATTAGGTATGGAGGCTTGATTTGTTTTGTCAAGAATTTACAGGTTGTGGTGTCCATCAAGGGGATATACAGTTCTTAACTATCTTTCTTTCTGTGATGTTAGCAGCTGTTTATGACTGTCACTAAGACCTATTAATTATTAGGGCTGTAAATGCAGATATTCTAATTCATTCTTTCTTCATTCGTAGGCTAAACACTTCCTTAATGGGAAATTTTCCTTCATTAACTATTTGGTGACCTTAAGGTACATTTTGTTTATGAAAGGCAGGACAGATATGTCTCTTTCCCTTTATTTACCAGTTTTCAAAATAATTAGTAGGTCCATCCAAAGATGACCAATGAGTTATTTTAAAGTATCATTATGAATTCATGGGTTTAAACATATTCATGTGTTTAAATTCATTGCAGCAATTATCTCCCCATCCTTGGCCAGTGGAAGCCATTTTAAGTTGGCTTCTGTGTCCATCTAACATCAGATGTCTTGGACAACGTATATTAGCACTGCCATGATCTAGAAAGCTCTTCCGTTAGGTCCATGGGTGTCTCCAGACAGGGAGCTGGTGACCTAAGAAATCATTACCAGGTTGTCCCCACCATTTTCATCAACTTTCTCATTTGCTCAAAATCTTCAAACTGCTTTTGAGGTTGAACCCCAACTCCTCTACCTTGCCAAAGCCCTGCCTGAGGAAATGATCCGCTTTACTTCCCATCCTCCGCGATGAGATCACTACCACTGCTTACTAGCTCACCCCCTCCCTGGCCCACCAGTGTGCCATACTCAGTGCTGTTTTCGTCCCCCATCTGGAATCCCCTTGTAGAGCCTCCTCTCCTCCAGAAGCACTGGGCTGCACAGCTCCAGGGGCACCCCTCAAGCCATGCACTTAGAAGCATGGAACAGTTCCCCTCTGCTGGTGCAAATCCAGCCAGCCGTAAGGCCCAAGCTGAGTCCCAGCTCTCCCAGGAAGCCCCAAGAATAACCACACTGTCTTACTTTCCCATGTCTGGGCCCATCAGTCCCTGTCATTTGGGCCCACTCATCTAAATACTTACTGCCTTAAACAATTACCTGTTTTGGGAGTCCCAGTTCTGGCTCCCTCAAAATGTAGCCCTTAGACAAATATTTGTTAAACTGAATTGATCTGATGAACTCAATCTGGGAGGCAGATTTGATAATAATTGCTTAGTATAGAAAATATAAGATGCCATCAAGTTTCCTAATACCAACTCCTCAGTAAAGTTGTTATAAAAACTGAAAGCACAGTTATAAAGGACAGAGGTGAGTTACAGCCAGAACGGGAAAGCTGGTCTTGGTCAGGCCCCCGCAAATGATGGCCTGCAGGTGAAATCTAACATGCACCAGTTTTTATAAACAAATTTTTACAAGAACACAGCCACGCTCATTCATTTACATATCATCTAAGGCTTTCATGCCACAAGGGCAGAACTGAGAAGTTGAGATACACACTGTATGGTCTACAAAGTGTGAAACATTTACTATCTGCTCTTTACGGAAAAAGTTCATTGATCCTTGCTCTTGGCAAAGATAGATAAGGGTAGTGGGATTTGTGACATGTTTAAAGTCCAAAACTCCTATTGTCAACCCCCAAGGTCAGTTTCTTTACTGATAATTTGCGGTCAGCCTGGCTTGACTGAATGGCCAGTGGAGCATTAAATCCTCACCGGAAACTTCTGCTTTGAGCTGTTCCAAAGCCAAGATTTCTTACCCCAATCACCTATGACCCTATCTGGAGACAAAGTGTGGTCCCAATCTCCATATAAGGACCCTGGGGCTTGTGCGTAGGGGCCTGTCTGTCTCTCAGGCCACTGGTGTTTGCTTGCACTCTCTCCTGCTGCCTGCATCCTCTGCTTTTAAATGAAAGCCTTACATGGGTATTTTCTGTGGAGTCTGCTGAGTACTCTTAAATATCTGGACTTGGAAAATCTTTGCGATGATAGCTCATACTTATTTCAAGATTACTGGGCTAATTAAAAAAGGAAAAGTCCCGCAAAACAGGAAAAAGTTCAATATTTATACACATCCATCCGAGTTCTCAACCCCAACTATGTATTAAGAGTCACCTGGGAAACTTTAAAAACTTGGTTGCTTGAGCCCCATCCCAGAGATATATATAAATGATTGAGTGTGGAGCCCAGGCACCTCCAGGCTCCCAGACAATTTTAATGTGTAGCCAGGATTAAGAATCACTGACATATTCAGCTCCTTATTATTAAGAGGCCTTGACATCCCCTTTGCTTGCCCTAGGATGCTGTCTCCCACTGGCACCTCCAGAATGGGTTAAATCTATTACACTCAAATCAAGATTATTTGCTCAAGCTGATAAACCTGAACTGACATCTTAAAAACCCTATTTTATTTTAGGTCAGTAGAATTTTCCACCTTAGTAATTACCTGCTCAACAATAGACGCCAGGCGTCCGAGTGCCAGACCACATTCATCCCCTCGGGTCACCACAGCACTTCCGAGTTTCACCACGATTCTCTTGGCATGCTTCAGCTCACTGCGGTGGGCAAAAGATTTGCCGTGTGCACGACTGAGGGGCACAGTGATAAATGGGATGTTGCTCCAAGAACGAACATTTCTGATGGCTGAAGGCTGGATACGATCTGTAGCCCCCAAACAAAGTCGAATGCCACACAAAAAAAGAAAACACAATATACTGTCTCACTGAAGAGATATGTGCACAATATTAACCAGTTTAGCCACCAAAAAATAGCATTAGCATTCTCAACCGCGTAAAAGCAGTACATCAAAAGCCATCTCTAGCATACTCTTATTCTAGTATTGGGTGGAGTTTGCACCCACTACACAGGTCACAGGTACACTCAAAACACTGCTGGTAAAGAGTTTAAACAAAACAATCTTTCATGAAGATATGTTGGCAAAATTATCAAAAGCCTTAAAAATGTTCACATCTTTTCATCCCGCAATTCCAAGTTCATTAATTATAAGAAACTAATCAGAAATCAAGACAAAGAGATTCATTAGAAGGCTGTTCACCAGTGCTATTTATAATAGAAAAAATCAGCAGATAAATGTCCAAAAAAAAAGAGCAGATGGATTAATGAACATTTTTAGAACTTTTAATAACATAGGAAAATGCTCATGGTATGTTTCATAGATATGTCTAAATGCACAGAAAAGAGATGCAGAAAATAAGTCAAAATATCAATATTTTATCTACTGATGGATTATAGGTGATTTAATTTTCTTCTTTATTCTTGCCTATGTTTTCCAAATTTATGCAGTAAAAATGCATTGCTTTCATAATAATAAAAAACAACACAGTATGTGTGCCTTAAAAGCCACGACACTATAAAAAGAGAATGAGTCTGATTAGCAAAGACAATTAAGAGCAAAGTAATTCGTATGAGTAACAAAAAATTATAACTAATCTACCCATAAATTTTCTCTCTGATAAGGCAGCGTGAATCCAGATGCTGTAATAACAATAAAAGAAACTGGTCAGCTTTATAAGGGAAAAGTAATGTTGGAATCAGATACTTTTTTTTCTATCCCTTTGGACATCTGCCCCTAAGCAATCCCTTCCTGATTCTTAATTCTCTTTTTTTGCAAAGCTGTATAACATTTCTAAGGAGGTAAAACAAAACAATAAACAAACAAAATGTGATTAAAAAGCTGAAAATGTATCTACATAAGCCAAAAGCACTAAGACCTGGATGTCAGGCACTGAACCCCTTCACCACTTCTCAAGGGTCCAACTCTTCCTGCTAACTACCTACCAATTACCCACTCACCCTCTCTCACAAATTACAAGGTTTCCTGTTCTGGCAGGGTACGCTGCCACCAGTCAAAAAGATTACAGTCCCCAGGCTTTCTTGCTCAGCTAGACCGGGCCATGTGGAATAAGTTCTGGTTAATGGAATACATATGAAAATGTTATGTGGGACTTCTAGGAATTTCCTTAAAAAGACAAGTGTTTCCTGAATGAGATCTGAACCCATGGCTGCCTGACTTCAAGCTGCCAACAGCCATATCTACTTATGCCAATTCATGGCAATAAATAGTAATTTATTCCTAGATAAATCAAGGGTCAGCAGCTCAGAGCCCTCCAATTACTCTCTATATGTAGAACTATTCTGCCTCTTAGAATCTCTTCTGACCCAGTGCTGTGTTACCTATTGATGCCTTTTTGACTGAAACTACATTAAATGTGAACAGAAAAAGGAAAAGTGCTTCTAGCTTCCCTTCGTCCATCCTGCTGCTTGGAATGTGGGTATGAAGGCTGGAGCTCAAACATCCACATTAGACCATAAGAAAACATGGTAAGAACCACGAAGCAAAAGACAGGAGTGCGGGAGGTAATGATTTCACATACTACTCTGCAAGCCCTGGGCTGCCTCCCTTCTTTTAGGACCCCAGGCATCTCTCAGGAGAAGGAGGGAAAACAGACTCTATCCTGTTTGAGCCACTACTATTTTGGGTTTTCTGTTACATGCACCTGACCTAACTGTAAAAGATGCAGGAGAACAAGCGCACAGGCAGCAGGGCAGGAGGCCTGCCCGGGGAAGGGAAGCTGTCGTGGTGCGGGTTGTTGACAAGTGGTCCCACTCACTGCAAACAGAACTCCACTTGGTGGGATCCCGGATTGTGAGAAGTGAGACAACATGGGCAACAGGCAACATGGGTTCTCAGTGGGACTAAACTTTAGGAATCCCCTCCCCCACCAAGAGTTCTCTATGTATCACTTCAGGCATTAATGAGTTACTAAAAGTAATCATTTCCAAGCCACCTTTGGGACCATTCTTCTATAATTGTACTATTATAGAATAACTTCCTCCACTTGAATCAAATTCTTATTTCTTTAATATATTTTTATGATTTCCGAGAGAGGAAGGGAAAGGGAGGGAGGGAGGGAAACGTCAATGATGAGAGTCACTGACTGGCTGTCTCCTGCACGCCTCCTACTGGGGATTGAGGCCGAAATCTGGGTTTGTGCCCTGACCAGGAATCAAACTGTGACTCCTGGTTCATAGGTTGATGCTCAACCACTGAGCCATGAAAGCCGGGCTGAATCAACCATTACTGCCCATGTTTATATTTACAGACAGATTTCTCAGAATTTCCCTAGACCTACCGCCTCTACCTCCTGACCACGGACACTAACTCCTCTAACTGTAACCCAGCTTCTTTCTTTCTCTATGCTGTAACAATGGTGGGCAAGGCAGGCAGAATCTCATTCTTGTGGACAGGAAGACCGCTGCGTGTTCTCCTTCCTCTCTGCCTCTTTCACACACGAATCTTCCCTCACTCACATGACCATTTTTTAAAGTGACTATGTTTCAAGTCTGCTGGAGATACCACGGAAGAAACGGTCTTTTTTCACAATAGGCTTTCAGTCCATTTGCTGGCAGAAAGTTGCTCACCTGGATAGACGGGGCGGTTGGCACCCTTGCACGACCCACAGGTGGGTTGTCTCTTCCTGCTGGCAGAGTCCCAAAGACTAAAGGGCTGGTTTGCTGTTTGGCCTAAGTTTCATGGAGAGCTCCCTTTCCTCATTAGGTTCATCAATATAGGTACCCTGGCTCAGTCTTCAAGGATATTATCTATCCTAAGCAATATACACACCTAAGTCTAAGCATAAAAGTTGTATACATAACAGTTCTGGCCTCGCTGACCTGACAGAGAGGTGGCAGAGGGGAGACTTAGTCCCCTGGGGTTTGGATCTGGGATCTTCAGTGGCTGCAGAGCTCTGAGTTGCGCCCAGTATTCCTTTGACAGCTCTCAGGATGGCTATCTTTCTCTCCTGTCCACTACAGGGCATGTCCTCTCCTGGGAGCATGCTGACATGAGTGGGGCAGCCTGAGAGGGCACCTCAGGGACACAGGTAGTAGCACACATGTCAGTCCAGGTGATCGGATGGCAGAAACCAATCAGAATCTGTCAGGCCCGGTTTGCATGAATGAGACACCTGATGCACGGTGTGTATCAGCAGAGGGTGGCTCAGCTCGGTGCCAGGCAGTCAAAGGTCACTCTGGCTGCTGGCAACTGGGTCATCACAGATCAGTGCTGTGGTGATGGAAATGTTCTTATCCTCACTCTATCAAAGTCAATATCCTGGCTGAGATATTGGAAGAACTGTATTAATTCTTATAACTGCAAGTGAATCTATAATTATCTCAAAATTAAAAATACTTAGTTACAAAAAAAGTAATGAATAAAAATAGCCTGTAAAAAATTTGGGGGGAATGAAAATAGGTAACACTTTATTTAAATTTTTGTTTTGAGTTTTTATTTATTTGACATACAAAAAGTCGTACAAAATTAATGTATACAACTTGGTAAGTTTGGAGGTAAGTATATACCTGTGGAACTATCACCGGTTTCTATGCCATAAACCTATCTATTGTGTCCAAAAGTTTCACTTTATTTAAAAACAAACACTTAGAACATTTCACCAGTAGGCTGCTTCCTTGCTTACTGTCTTTGTCCAATTCTGCCATTTTATATTTTCCCCCTCCTGTAAAACCTTGTCTGAAACACACACTGACCAAACTTCTCACATACTTCTAAGTTTCCTATGATACATACAAGATCTGGAGAGAGCTGTGAACTGGGCCCAGGGCAGGAGACGCTGGCTAAATGGCTGGAAGCCAGAGCGGCAGACTTGACTCAACATGGTGCGATGTGGACACTGATCGAAGTACCTGCAGGATGCATTTTTTAAAAAATTGAATAATGAAAAATACTAGACAATTCATTTCCTTTTCCTCTACCTCCCCACACTCTGAGTAAAAACTTGACCCTCCTGCTCCAAACTCCTCTGTATTAGGGAAACTCCTACCTCCTCTGTATAGTGTAGAAAAGAGAGAGAGAAAAAAAGGCTCCTACCCATGCTCCAACTCTACCCTTCCTTTCCGAGGCTGCCTTAGTTGTTAAATAAACAAATGGTATTTAAGGATTATGAATATCATGAGTGACAAATGTTTATATATTGATACTAAATCTTCACTACAGTTCCTATACCACTGGGGAGTCTCTAACAGATCAAAAACAGATCCAACAGGCCGTGGGCGGGTAGCTCAGTTGGTTAGAGCATCGTCCTGATACACCAAGGTTGCAGGCTCGATCTCTAGTCAGGGCACATGTAGGAAGAAACCAATGAGTGCATCAATGAGGGGAACAACAAATGGATATTTCTCTCTCCCCCCACCTCTAAAATCAATTAAAAAACAAACAAAAAAAGATCCAGTATCCAACAAGAGCCATCTCCACCTTCCTATTATTAACCCCCAACAGAACTCTGAAAATCACATATGTGAAATGTCAGCTTAATCACTGCTGCATGAGGAGGGGGAAAGGGCCAAGAGGCTGCTGCTATGTCTTTGTTTTTTTTTTAATATATATTTATTGATTTTAAAGAGAGGGAGAGAGAGAGATACAGAAACATCAATGAGAGAGTCACTGATCGGCTGCCTCCTGCACACCCCTTACTGGAGATAGAGCCTGCACCCTGGGCATGTGCCCTGACCAGGGATTGAACCACAACCTCCTGGATCCTAGGTTGATGCTCAACCGCTGAGCCACCCAGCCGGGCTGCCATGTCTTTCTTCCTGCCAGCCACAGGAATCTAAGGCACACTCTTACATCCCTGGGAGGGAATGGCAATGTCTGCAAATGGCTGGCGTTTTAAAGGACTGTGGGCACATCCCATGGAAGACGAGTACATGCTAGAAACCTCAGAGTTAAGAACATGGTGGTTGTGGGCATTTTCCCACCCTAGGTCAAACTTGAGGCTTTAGACAAAGAATAATTTATTTCACAGAAAGGTAGGGAGCTCCTTCCTATACATATACAGAGAATAAGCCATTTATTATTGTAGCTCGGACACTGCTGCTTTCACAAGATAAGAAAAATACTGCAGCTTCTTTGCTTGCTGGGGCCTCCTTTTAACTTTTGCTGTATGGATTGGTGGACATACTCCAATCCTCTTAAATGTGCCCCAAAGACTAGCATTTAACCCCATGGTGAAGAGAAAAAAGAAGTGGCATGTACTGCTCTTCCATTTTTACTGCACAAAGGCACTGAAAGGAGAGAAGAGACTGGCAGGATACATCTGTTGTAAAAGCTATGGCATCTAATAGGCAATAGAAAGTGCTAAGTGCTGTCTTTGTGGACTTCTGTGTTTGTGACAGTCTGGAAGATCCCAAAAGAAAATTATTTACATTATACTGAAACATGATATGAGTCCACAGTCTGTTTGCTTCTTGTGTAAATTCCTTCAGTAATTGTTCCTAAACAATTATTTCCATATGAATTCTCCAAAATACAGAAGAGCCAACAGGGTAAAATAATCAAGTAGCGACACTAAAATTCCAGTTCCCCCTTCCTCATGAAGCTTCCCCAGCAACTGCAGCATTCAAAGTTGGCTTCACCTGTTACTGTTGCTTTTCCCAACTAGATAACAAACTTCCTACTGACAGCATGGTAAAGAGGATGGGAACACAGGCTTTGAAGTTGGACAGATTTGGTTCAAGCTCTGTACTTGCTAGCTGTGCACCTTTTGGAGGGTTACTTAACCTTTCTAAGCCTTGGGTTCTTCATTTATGAATCAGGGACAATAATAGTAAGGACCTCACAGAATTATTGTAAGAATTAAATGAGACAATGCATGGAACGCCTGGGTACAACAGATGGTGAAAAGATGTCAGTTTTCCTTTTCTTGTCTTTTAGGCACTAATGGTATCTTATATCCATTTCTTTCTTTCTTTCAGGGCCTGTCACAGGCACAAATAATTCCATAAGTTTCTCTGATGGATATAGTCACAATCAGACCTACTGACTCTTTACTCATATCTGAGTGAAAGCTCGGACTATTTAAGGTCACTACGTTATTAGGATGAAGACTGACCTAGAAACCAAGCCATCTGGCCTCTGACTGAGCCCTTCCTTATTGCAAGGAATGGTTCATCCTGCCAGAGTTTATTATGCCCTCAAAGAGCAGAGAGCTGATTCCAGGGGGCAAAGGGTATGTGTCTGTGTGTCTAGACTCAACGTCATCAGCTGACAAGAGTTCCCATGTTTTGACTCAGGTCATTTCTCAAGTACCCCTTCATAGGTTCTAAACAGAAAGCCCTTATCTTACTGCCTCGGACGGAGAATGAACTTCAGTCCTAACAGACCTCACGCAGAAACACGGGCTCGGCGTGCGGTTCACTTAAAGACAAAGACCCGACGAAAAACTTCACCGCCTTAGAGAGCCAACAATAACGGCGGCGGCGGCGAGCGGGGCACGTGCGCGCTCCCCGAGGTGCCGGGACCGCGCACAGACCGCACGCCACGCCGC